ATATTATATAATGGAAATAGAACACTCAAATTTCGGTGAAAATCAGTAATATTTGATGGTTTTCGCCGGATCAGAGTCCCATGCTGTCTTCCTAAGTAGATTAAGGCTGTGCAAAGTAAAGTACGATCCGTCGGCGTGGTTAGGCCATGTTTAGCAGTGCCTTTGCAGTGTCGTCCCGTGCATGTCTAGCTGGCGAAAGGCCAATGATAGGCCATCAATGGTGTCATTGTCGGTAATCTAATTATGATTTGTTTTTATGAACCCATGGACGGGTATGGACACAGACAGCGCAAGAGAACGAGTGTGCTGTCTGCGATAATCTATCGGGCAACGGTGTAATCGATATGCAGTTACAGCAGCAAGTACGGTCGTTGACAAAATAATGGAATCTAAAGTAGATTACGCGATGGTAACTAGGTGAACAGAGAACAGAACTCGAGAACGACCTCAGAGCAAGCTCAAGGCTCAGTGTAACAGAATAGATGGCAGTTAGTTGAGCAAATTCAGAAGACCAGTGTATCAGTGTTAAACAGGTTGTGCACTTGTCTTCAAAAAGGAGAAGGGAGTTTTTGGACTTTTCAGAACGAGCTGACAAAAGGTCAAAGTCGTTTCATGTCTGTCTATTTACTATATGGAGTCGTATGTGTATGTATGTATGTATGCACGTTTATACAGAGAAGATAGCTAACTTCACTTGGCGAATAAACAGCCACGCTTATGAGGCACGCAAACTCTTCAAAATGAATAAAATCAGGCATGAATCATCGTCTGCATCTGTATTGATAGGCTGTGTAATAGATCTGAAGAGAAACGAATGAACGAGCGAGAGAAGGAACTGCGACAAAAAGGGAGCTAATGGCGCGTGCCTAATGACTTGAGAGACAGACGCTTCTAACCCGTTCATTGTTGACTTCAAATAAAGCACAGGCGACCATAAGTTCAGAGCGACCGGGGCAAAATAAAGGAATCTAAAATGCCACATACTATAACAGCATAAACGCATAGAGCTAACAAAGTACGGTAGGCAGTCAATCTGAATTACAGGCCGTCAGTGAGGGACAACTGAGAAACGATTCATAGATGCAACGTAAATACGTCGTACGATAAATTAATAGACATGTCGCGAATAGGTTTATAAGATAAGCAAAACAACTAGCTAAACCTCACTTCGCTCATTAAGCTTTTGATTAGAAATGGGATGTGTCGGTATGTTGAGTATAACTACTGTAATTCTTCTAAGAGGCTTCTCGAAGCCAGAGACATCGTCATTGAAAACACGATAGTAGAGTATCTTGGGTACGGGCAAAGGTTTAGATGCTTGCGTTACATTGCTCAGCACAATTCACCGACGCTTCCATCGATCGATTTTTTAAATACTTGAGTTTAAAGAAGGTATGGATTTACATGAAAGACATCTCACCTATTCTAAATAATATAATAAAGCAAGTGTTTTTAATCATAAGGGATGTGTCTAAAAAGCTTTAAGATGAAGTACTCTTTCGTGCATGTATTGAATGTTAGAAGTTGCGCTTTCCTGAATGAAACTCCGCGACCTCTGGTTTAGAAACTTCCGAGGCTCTTGCCTTGTCTCAGTTCTTTCATTGACTAGACTAGACTTATACGCCATATGCTCTTTCACATTTAACTAATAATGTAGTAAATCTATCCTTGTTTTACTAGCCGGCACATTGTCGATTTATCGATCATCTGTCTGTACACATAAGTGACGTCCGAAAAGTTGGGCGGACCCATAACGCTCAAACTGCGTAGTTTGGTTTACTGAACGAATCTTTAGTATCAAATTAGAGCAAAGTGCACCAATCAGTCGCTCGGGTTTTTTGAATAAATTCATTATAGACCCCTTCTAAGGCGGCAGTGCTCAGTAAAAGTTGTATACCACGTCACAGGGATGAAGGACAAAGCTCAAGGAATACTGACGGTCCGTTAGCGGCGGCAAAAATTTTACTAAGGCGTTTTTTTTTTTTTTTTGCTATCCTATTTGTAACGTGCCCTGTTGGGGTCGTAGTGTGAAAAAATCACCGACAACGCTGGTCAACGAGTATATTCAGTTTAATTCTAGAATATGATACTAGTCTTAATCGTCCCGGATCCTAATACAATTTAAAACAGTCATTATATCTTACATGCCTGTGGCAATTATTTGTGAATTCGAAAGAGGAAAATAGTTGCGCGTGGTACTTCTTCTGCGCTTGCCCTATTGAAGGATGCCCTCTTCTGACAGCAGGCAAAATCTCGTCCTGGAGAGTGCATTTTCGAAAAGCCTATAAATCGTCTTAATATTTTGTATGTTAGAAAAAATAAAATTGCCTATACCAGACAATGTCGATTAGTGTATGTTTTGTACAAGTTAGCAAACAGCCGGTGCTCGATACGATTCGTGAGTTGATTTGGAGAAGAGTGGTTCCACGTAATATAAGCTATCGAAAATGATTCTGTTTCTCAGCATCGATATTGCTCTAATCGTACTTTTCAATATAACAGTTCTTCATTTTTTTCAAATTGTCAATTTTTTAATCTTCAAACAGATGTTGCCTCTTTCAAATTCTCCGAGATTCAAAGTAATCTTCTCTTGATATTTGTCCACTAACGCCATACTGATATTTGGCCAGCCATCGCCGACCCGATTGTATCTTGAATATCTTAGTATCTTCAATAAACGAAGATAAGTGTTTCGCTCGTGCCACTCACCCTATACTAATATGAAACTAGCGAAAATCCCCAATACGTCAAAAAGCCGGCGTCGAGTGAATGCATAGGATCATATAAGGCCAATTGGAGTAGCAGTAATAGCGGTACCTTCGGTGCCTGCAGCCGTTGTCACTGCGACTGCCTTTCTTCGTTCTCATTATCCATCTGCATGGCTATTTGAAAGGCCTCGACAGGCTGCAAGATCGAATTTTTGTTCGTCCTCTTTACAATACTGCACGCAGTGGACGAGATAGGAGCAGGACAGACAATAGGACGCGCGATTCCCTTCGTCGTAGATTCGTCATTGCTAAGTACTACTTAATACTCACAGCTTCTTTCACATCCACATCCCATGGTTCTATTTTTGACCTTTGTACTTCAGGTTGTGAGGTGTTAACGTGCTAGAGACAGACACAGGGAGGAAGTTACAACAGCCACGCTGGCTCCATGTTCCACTATCCCAATCAGGCATAGTCCAGCATCGTATCCTTCGTTAGGAGTACCGAGCATATTTGTATCTTCGTCCATCAGCAATTCCAACGGTCGTCAAATGAATGTCCTGCACATTATCCCGTATGAATATGTATTGGTACCTCCCTTTGCTAACTCTATGCTTTCCACTCCTGCAGCCGTAGACCTCGTTACTGCCCTGAGTATAATATGGGGTCCATATGGCCTTCGTCGATGTGTAACCGTTACCGCGGCAGTGGCCTAATCCTGGACCCACATGCGCCAACGAAGGCGGTCGTCGGTTTCGCTTGTTGACGCTATCGTGCTCAAAGACAGGGGAAGAGAGAAGGAGAAAGTACACGAGCGATCCTGGCGCTTTCTTCTAGCACGCAAAGCTTCCTAGTCTACGTTATGCGGCTGTGACATGTGCCGCCCCGCCGGACTAAAAGTGGATTGGCCTATACATACATATAGGATTAGATGTATAAGGGGCAAAGTTGGCTCTAGGGAGCGAGGGAATATATGAGAGAGGGAAAGCAGAAAAAAGAATGGGGCATATGTGACAGATGAGGACAAAAGGAAAATGGGGGAGTGCTTCAATTGCATTCTCCATATCAGTCTCCCATCAGTTGTAGAAGCCGCGACAGTGAAAGCTCTGACGAACCTTCCGTTACTCTATGCTTGCGTTACGTTACTCTGTGCGGCGCAAACTTCCGTTGTTTCCTTCGCAAGAAGCGAGAACCCAAACAGATGCAGTCGTCTGCCTATCGACTCACTGTATCGATCCCTTCTCGCCTTATTGCTCGGACTCATATAGGCTTCATCCTTCCTAGTTGATTGGGTTCTGTCTAAGTTCCCGTTCGGCTCCTTGGACGCTCTCTCTACCACCAAAATTTCTATTTTCTTGCTGGTTTAGAGTTTCGTTTTTTGCAAGGGCTTGTGAAAAATATTCCCCTTAGCCGAACGCCTAAAAGAAGGTAATAGACTCTATGAAACAGTGAACCCATGGCAAATTTCGAGGAATGCAGCGCTTCTAAATTCTGCTTCTTCAGATGTTGACTCTAATAATCGCCTCCCCAGACTCATAAGCACAGGGGAAAGAGGCAGAAAGACGGAAAGAAGGTAAGGAGAAAGCTCAGACTTCTCTCAGATTGAACTCTTTTTGCACAGCTTCACGATGAAGAGGACTAAGAGATGGCCACGATGGTTGCTGTAGCAGAAAGGGACTGAAAAAGGGACGACAAGGACAATATTGGAAGCTTTGTTTCTCGTGGCAGCAGAGTTACCACTTGCCGGCGCCTTTTTCTTTCCGTGCCAACAAAGCCGTCATTGCTGCTCTTGAACACACCCACGCTGTACGTAAAATAGCATGCCCTTGTGTGATCCTCCGTTTTTTGTTCTCGACCGCTTTCCCACTCTCCTTCTTGCTATTGGCCGCTTACGCTTTTCGCTACAAATATTTTTTCACAAACCGGTGTGGCACCCCGACGCAAGCACCGCAAGGACCAGTCAACACGAACTCTGAACGCGGGCCCTTGAGCAGGCCCTCGACCAAAGAGCCGATACTTCTATGTGGGCGGCAAGAGCAATGGAAGCTGCCGAGCAGTAGGGGGTGGGGGGGGGGTAGAGGAAAAAGTAGTGGTGCAAGCTATGGTGCTACCAGCCATGTGGGCTTGTTGGCCAGTCTCTCTCAAGACCGTTCCGAGTTGAGAAAAAGAAGCGAACGGAGCACGGAGGCGAGTGGCGTGCACGGCGAGGCAAAACGGCCAAGGGTGGAGTGCGAAGCGGGGGCAATCTCTGAAATTGTGGAAAGCTGCCGGCAAAAGTGGAAAGAAGTGGCGTAATGTATATATCGTGGATTGGGTATAGCGTCGAATAGCAGTTACGGAACGGACGCAGCAGACACGGATGAAGCGGACGTTGGCGCAAGCGAACGAAGGCCCATCTGTCGATCCTTTCTCGTTTCAGGATGAAAATGAAATAAAGTAGAGGTTTTGCTAGCACAGCTGCTTCTTTTACTGGGACTACCGGTTTATTTCTTCGCTTGAAGAAAGGCAAGTGGGCAAACTTGCTAGCAAACGGCCTGGCCTTGATATTAGCCGATGTTTTCGACCCGCCGAAGCGAACCCTTGAGCCGAAGTCACCAATTGAGGAAGAGGGGCGGCTCTTTTCTTTTGCCTTGGGTTTTTTTCATACCCATCGCCGTGCGACCCAATCCACGACGCTCGCTTTCACTCGCTGTTAGATTTTTTCTGGCTATTATTGTCTCAATATTGATGAAAGACAGGGCACAAGAGTTTCAAAGATTTGAAAAGAGCCAATAGAAACGGTTCGAAAAACAAGGCTATGATATTCAATATGATTTCATTGCAGTATAACTGCCATTAACGTCCTGCGACTAATACGAGATCTTTTCCAATTGACCAATATGGAAGAAGACGTGCAACGTGATTCGGAAAGACTCATTGAACGATAACAATAATTTTCACAGTGGGCTTTATATACAAGAATATATGCATTGTAGACTTATGTTATAAAGCGTTCAAAGAAAAACTATTTCCATTAATTGCGCAGTCTCTGTCATCGCGTCTTTTTTTTTATGAAGTACGGTAGACAGGAGAGATTTAAACGAAGAGACTATTATTATTTGCGCTTTGCGCACAAAAGCATAGCTTTTTCAACGCAGACTAATTAGTAATTGCTAATTAGGCAAAAAAGTGTGATTTTTAACTGTCTGAACCCACTACTTTTTAAATATAACAGTGGTCGACCTCGAAAGTACGTGCATTTTTATTCTGAGTGCACGCAGCCACTCTTCGGAATATCTACTTCAGTGCTGTATAATGAACGTGGTAGCTAAATATGGTACAATTATACGTTACCTTGTACCGTCTTTCGACTTTTATACGCGCTTCTTATCGCCCTTCAACGAAGATCTTGACACAAATAAAAAAACGCCTAGCCTACGGACGTCTGGGCAACAACAACAGCATCTACAGTTCAACCTAACTTCACTGACGGCCCAGGAGAAAGCAATAGTGATTCACAGGCCGATCGCAGCGAAAAAAACCTACTGCATTTGTTGCTTCTTGCTGCTGCTGTCATTGTTGTGGTTGTTGTTGTTGCTTCTGGCTTTTGTCGTGTCTGTTTTCCGTTTCGTCATTGCTTCTCGAGATTGAAGACTTCTTTCTACTTCCTCTTCCTGTTCGTCTCCTTCTCCTCGAACCTGAACCCACTAAGCGTATCTCTACTGCTGTGCAATGGTAGCCAAGGTGAAAGGCAATCCGGGAAATATATGGCATACATATGTTTGCCGTTTCCAGTGCACTTTCGTCTGCATCGATGACGCCGCCGTCAGCCGCGCGCGGAAACGGTGGCGTTTCCTGCGCTGCTACCATCGCTGCCACTACCCCCAATACCCACTGAAACAGCAGTCGCTACTACAGCAGCCGTTATCGGCAGACCCCCAGAGAGCGCCCGGTGGGGGGCGCTCTGTCCTAGCTGAAAATATCGTTCTCGCCGCCTGCCGTCCCCCTTCACTATTTTTCTCTTTCATAGCGACTCGGGCCCGGCGGCACGGTATACTGTGCTGCCAACGACAAGCTCCGAGCTACGATGGGTGGTCCAGCTCTTTAACGGCTGGCTGCAATGCTGTCAGCGACAGAGCTCGGCCGGTTCCTTGCTTTCTAGCCGGAAGCCTTCGTTCCTTTCTTAGTTTAGTGCTCAAGGCAAACATAGCAAGGAAGAGAAAGAGGCTGGCTTGTTCGTTCAGTGGTCGGTACATCTACGGACGGTTGGCGACGGAACAGCCGTTCGCTTGACGGCTTTCGGTTGCGCTTCACGCGGCGGAGCTCGCGCCGAGAAGGGGCTTGGGCTCGCGCAGCGCTGTGTGTTGTAATGCAAAAGTGACGCTGCTGCTGTTACGGCGCTACCAACAGCAGCAACAGCAGCAGCATCGCTATAAGACTACACGACCGGCCAGGACCAAAAAGATAGAACGCGAGCCCTCACCCCCTGTCGGGCGCTCCTGCTCGGGGCTCACTCATCTAGTTTTGCTCCGCCCTGGTCCGAGTTGCGGCCGCGCCTCCCGGCCAATCGCTGCTGGCATGCTATGGCCCCGCCTTCGGCCAAGCGGCAAATCATTTTTAGATAACATGAGAGCTTTTTTCTGTACTCGTCGTCTGTCGCTGTCTGAGAGTTGTGTGCTTGATCGCTCGCTTCAAGGAGAAGGGAGATTATTTTGAAGGCAGCGCCAGCAATTGAGATCGAAGGCTGAGCGCAACCAGCATCTGAGACCAGGCGAGCTCCCGGAGTAGTTGAGCACCCGCCAATAGAGAGTGGTCGTCCCCGTGATGGTGGCCGAACGCGCTCCAGCAGCCGCGCCAAATCACGCACGCGACGACTAGCGATATTAGTACCACGCACTAGCATTACCACCGTTACTTATACTGAGAGGGACAGGAGGACTGGACGCCTACGGCGAACACGAAGTTGAATAAAGACCGAAGACGAAAAAACGAGATAACGCACTGCACCACTAGACGGATAGTGGACGACTAGCAGACGTCGAGCCTTAGCGAAGTGCAGTCTAGCGAAAGCCAGATCGTACGGTATTGCAAAGCAACGAAGTCCTCGGCATGCTTGGCACTCTACGTGCCGCTCTACGATAGAGCTCGCTGGTCGTATATTGCTTGTTGTTGTTGTAATTGCAAGAAGTGATCGGTGACGCCTTCACTCTCGTTGTAAGCAAACCTCAGTTTCAGAGGTACCCGCTTATAAGGACTACGTCAGGATACGTTCAAGGACCACGTTCAGACCTAAACATAGAAAAAAAAAAAACAGTGCGATAACCTCCTGTATCATCAGCTAACTCACGGATTGCCAAACGCGGGGTACAGCATAACATATTGAAGCAAAATTTTACTTAGCGGAACCATTTCCGTAATGAAGTGTTAGTGCCAAGATCACATGTGTCGTAATCAAGAAATGTTGAGGAGATCGACGCTTGGCAAACGTTGATCGCGCATTTTCAATACGAAGGAGGCCGATATCCTTTCAGGGTGAGTGATACCGAGTGTGTAAATTTCTTTGCCTGTGTACACTGTTGTGCCTGTGTGTAATATTCATGCTATAAAAATACGATACTGATCGTAGAAGGATTTTTCACCGCCATTACAAAGAATTGATTTCAAGGCTAAATTTATGGTAGAGATACGTGGGCGTCACTTGCCAAAGTCAGCTTGTAGTGGAGATCGTGTTAACTCTTTTATTATTGTTACTCTCATACATCGTGTGACCAAGTGCTGCATATTGCTTGTTGAAGTGTCTACCAAAAAGTGTTCACCAGGCTAAACACTCAGCGCTTCGCGCTGGGCGATTTAGACGCAATGCATTCAAGTTTGGATATGCTTCACAATCCCGTTGGAGAACAATCAGTGACATCCGAGGATTCGAACCACAGTGAAGCTAGTCAGCATCTTGCTTCTGCACTTCATATGACATCGGCGGGAGGCAACCCATTTGGACCTCATGGGGGCCAGTTTTTAACTTTTGGCAATCCCTTTGATCCGTCAGGGGCTGGCTTATTTAAGGTTCACGATGACGGCTCGGGCCTGGTTGACAAGAAGCCGTTCGCTGACCAGCTTCATGATAAAACTGTGGGAATGGGCTTCTTCAAGCAACACATGCACATGACTGCTGCCGCCGATTTTCGCGGCAGTAGCGAACCCGACCATGAAACTGATCAAGATCAGGAAGACCATGATCACGATCACGATGAAGATGATTCGAAGGGCCGCGACCGTAAAGACGCTAACACCCAGCTAGCTCTTAGCAAAGACATTTTCCACGAGCGGATCTCTGCTTTCAAGCACAATATCTCTGGAAGCAAATCTGCCTCCGTAGAACTATCTGACAAAACGTTTGAGCACAGTTCTCAGACCAGCATCAATTCAGGTACCTCACATCGGATAGATGATATCCTCTCCAAGCCCTCAGTTTCCCCATGTAGTGCAGCGATGCAAGCGGCTGCATGCGGACTGCTGGTTCCATCACCAGCTGCACCAGCAGCCTGGAGTAATCCAGCAGCTGCACTGTTTCGCGGAGCAGCGCTGGCAGCTGCGGCAGCTGCAGCGGCCCACCATAACACGCAAGGTTAGTGCTCTGTTTTTCTCAGTGATTCCTATTGTCATTACTCAGTTGTTGTCTCGTGAAGAAAAACGATCACCTGAACGTGTCTTCTAACCATTAAAGTACTTTCTAATACGGTTTCTAATACGATAATAACCGGTAATTACATATAAAGGAGCAAACTTCGTGGAAAGCTTACTGAGTGAAGTTATATTTTGGATGGAGACTGAGCTATTTATCGGCAGCTTGCTGACGAGTTGTTTTTACTGCGATGTTTGAGAAAATATATGGGAGCTTCCGCTTATGGTTTGATGTTTCCGCAACGCTTGAAATAACGGCATTGAATGGTAGATAAATATGAATATTTATGTATTGATATTGCTAGATGTTGCGCGTTTTGAAGCATTTTAGATGAGTCTGCCTGTGCGGTGAGGGTAAGTGGATTCACCATGATGAGACCTCAGATTCGCGTTTGATCTGAAACTGGAATTAATTACCAGTTGATGACGAGCTCACTCAAAATGGCGTCACTGTCTTTACATTTTCGCTCTGTAATATATTCAAAATGTTCCCCACCGCGCCGTGGGCCTTCAGTTAGGTTTTTAATTACAGTTTTCGCTATCAATCAATGCTACTTGTGTAACTTCTTATGCAACTTATTGAAGTTACCCTGTATTCGAAAAAGATAGTTGACTCTCCAAACAAATCGCATTAGGTATGCTTTGTTCCTATTTCGCTCTAAGAATATCAGAGATCCGGGTTGCTGCTCCCCAATAAGTTTAACTTCTTCTAAATTAGCTTGTGATTTATTTATTGGTAGCATAGCGTCTGATTATATTTTAAATGTTCATATATAGAACCCCATCCAGTTCTGCTGTTACAAACGATGTATTATCAATAAAGTATAACCCTTCAAATAATCCTTTGGCCTTTAAAGAAGTTTTCTAAAAGACTAGTTTATAAATAAAAAAAATAAATTTACTTCCAAGTAATAACTTGCCCTCAATATGGATATCTAACATCTCAGCATTCTGTCTCAGTTTCGTGGTAGCTATCTAACTCAAGCTAATTAGCTTACCTAACTTATCTCAACGCTAAGCGAATCTGGCGGACCTTGAAATTGCGTAGCCTTTGAAATACGCGTCCCTAGCAGACGAAATTCGACAGCTAAATACTCCAGTCGCCTAGAAACATGTGATTGACGACTAATTGAGGTTACCCCACGGGGGAATGAGTTCAGAAAGAAAAACATATTTTATTCACAAAATTAACGCTCGGCAGTAAAGTCTTTGTTTCTCAATGGCTACAGGATTGCGAAAGTTCGTCGACCGTTGATGGAGACATTAGGCTAAAACCCTAAGTGAAACCACAGTAATCTGAATGGCGCAAAAATTTCAACAGTGGACATCAGAGTGTCTAAGACCAACGAGAAGGTAATCGCCGCAGTTGAGGAGGCTATTCACGAAGACAGAGCTTGAAGTCCAAGGGCTCTGTTGGCCAAAACTGGCATTTCACATGTAACATGTTACAGAATTGTAAACTAAATATTCAAACCGCAAAAGCTGAGTAACAAATAGGTCCCGCATAAATTGATTCCAAGCGAGTTGAAAATTCTGCGTGAAGTGATAAAGCTTCAATAGACAAAAACTCGCTTAAAACATACGGTCGGCCTACATGGGGCATGATCCATCTTTACTCCTAAGCTGACAGGAAGCAGACGAACATATGGCGCCACCTAGGAGAGACAGAGTTCTATGGCAGTGTCGAGTAGATTCGAACGTGAAATAATAGTAATATTTACAATGAATATCAAGGACATCTGCTAGTATGAAATGATTGCCAAATACAAGATAATGAATGTTGCCTACTATCTCGAGTTTCTTCATGGACCGCTGTGACGGCAATCAAGAGTACGCAGGCTAGTTGCTTAAGTACAACTCCAGGTTTTATCACCAAGTCTTAATTACTTTCTGGGTTGAGGAAAGAAGTATCGAAGGTTGATTTCGACCTTATTCTCTTAAACTAACCTCGTACGGTTGTGGGGTTTTCTGTGCCCTAGAGAAGGCAACTGATCGAAAACCATATCCTATCATAAATTTATTCGATGTGTCGACTTATCGCGAGGTCGTAGATAGGGAGATTACGCATGGAAACGCAGACGCTAGATATATTGCCGTCCGGAAAGTGCCGGCCCGCTGGGACAGATGTCCAAAAAATAAATGAGAATGTCCCTAATACATATTAAACCGTCATTCTAGTTCGACGAGTCAAAAAATTATTTGGCTTTAAAGTCCACCGAAGTCGCTTATAATAGCCTAATACGTATGCGGTCGACATATTTGACTGACTGTAATTCTGGACGGTGCCGGTAGTCTGGGGTTTACCGGTTCGGTTATGCGGTAGATCGGTTAAATTTGTATTTAGTAATTACTCGACATTAAATGTAATGATAGTAAGTAAAATTCATCCTCGTTCTCTGTTTGTACCTGGTAGGAAAATGGACAATACTTTGCGCGATGCAAATCGGATCCTTTTATATAATATAAAATATATCTTATAGTTCGTTACAAAACCAGCTCTCTTTCGCGATGAAAAGCTTGCCTTTGCTGCTGTTGGCGCGTCTATCTTTAGGCCCAGTTTTGAAACGAAGCTCCCATATGTAACACTACAGACAGGCATCAATCACAAGTTGATAATGTTATAAGTTCGGATAATTCTGTCACCTGCAAAGAACCCATATCCAACCTGCTGGTGCTAAGTTTTATAACGAGCGTCACTCTGCAGCGAGTGGTGCGTCAACAATATACATACTCCAGTTTTTTGTGACGAGCTTTCCTTTTACCCACCGACGTGGGTATTGGCACTAATTCAAAGATCGGCATAAAACATTCGACCTTCAATCGTAATGACAAACGCTGACGATACCATAAGAACTGTGAAAATGTGGACAATGAAGACGAAGACGACATGGAAAACCGTTCAAAACAATCCGGACGGTCGGAAAATGATTATGCGAGAATACCATTTTCAGCTGATGGTGAATTATGTGCTTGTAAAAAAACCTCTTTGTTCTTTCGGCGCGCATGTAATCGAACCTTCATATATTTTTTTGGTAAGGCCAATCTATAACTACGATGAACATCAGTTGTACGAGCCTGCCGCGTCCGTATATGATTTGAACCTACAAAGGTCTTAGAAAGAACTAAGTTAGACACTCTCTTTTTGGGTGCACAGTGAACTGAAACTCTATCTCAGTCACTACCTGCAGTAATCGTGGAACTCCTGTGTTGTCAGTTTTCGCATATTATTCACGTCATTGTCATAGAGTATATCGACACTTGATTGAACAAAAGAAAAAAAGCAGTGCTCAAAGGGATCCTAAATAAGCAATTAGAAGGGTCTCCTCAAGACATGTTTATCGTTTGAACATGTTAGAATTCGAATAAATATGTCATACGACACGTCGATTTCTACTGAACAACGTCGAAAAATTTCGCTAGGAATAACTTCGAAAATTACTCATCATTACGTGAAGGTGCCGGTATTACAGAACGAGTATCAGTGATATGTAGCAGATGCTTCTGTTATTTACACGGTCGTAGATATGAAGGTACAATTAAAACCGCACCCACAAAAAGCCTTGACGATATTTTCGCAGTTTCGAAGTTGACGTACGCCATGCGGCTATTAATTATATACGATATTAATTTCAAATACCACTGGTGGTTGCTATCTTCTAGTGTCTCTCTTCGCAAGAGGATTTTTGTTATATAATAGCTCGCTGCTTAAAAGAAAAATGGGTGTCAGTGAATCGACATAGAAAGTAAACTATCAGAAATGCAACAGATACGTTTGAACGCGACTTCACTTTATGGTGATTGTTAAGTTCGCAGCTGAAACGAGAGGAACTCTTTACTTTCCAAAGAAATCGGTCTACATTTTTGCTTCTACCGATAGGAAATCCCGCACTTAAGTAACTATAATCATGGATTCTACACTTCTTCTTGTTCTTCCACTTTCATTTTAACCCATTGCGATTAGTTAACAGCTTAAGGAGCACCAGTTCATTCTACGAAGAAACCGTGGAGACTTTTTATGCACGGTCTCGATCGATTGTACTCAACAAACACTACAATTTGTCTGGTCCTTAAATACGGACACAAATGCAAAACAGGTGTTTGCCTGTAAATGTTGTCTGAGTGGCCTTTAGGCACAATGATACCTGGAACCATCGAAATTATATACATATACACGAAATACATGAGCTATATCTAATCGGATTACAGTGAAATCAGTTAGAGAATCAGAAAGGCCTACAAGGGTAAAGGCTAAACAATGGAAATTTCGTAACTAGGTTAAGACGCGCCACCAGCAAAAACTTAAACGAACGACTAAAGCGAGCTGGGTTAACATAGCCTTCGCGCCAATATAGCTAAAGAAAGCGGTTTGTATCATAGCCTCAAAAAGGTTTGTCTTTTAATTTTACAAAATATTGTAGCCGGCGCATAGTAAAAAACACAGCATTTATATTCCAAGTTCCCACTACTTGCAAGCTCTGTATGAACGGTAAGAGAAGCTATGTCCTTTTTAAGAGCACCGATCCCTCCGGATTAAATACCTTGCCCAAAGTCAACATATCGAGACGCTGAAAAGTCACTAACTATTGTTTTAAGGCCGGGTTGGCTCGATTCAAATCGACCCTACTTAGGCAGCTTGAGCGCCGTATCAGTCACCTAATTTGCTCACAATAACTAGGGCACAATGTGGTGTCCTAGACGATTGTTAGCTGTCCTTGTACATAGCGGCAACCTAAAGAATTTTTTTCTAAGATACAAACTCTTTTTCACTCCCTATAGAGCATAATAAATAGTAGTAGTAAAAAATAGTAAGCAGTCTTGAAAGAGACTAAGAATAAAAAATAGAGAAAAGTTTTTAGACTTTTCTTCAATTTTTATTACGTTATTTAATAGAAAATTTTCGTTGAATCATTTTGTCAATTTAATACTTACAAGTATGTAAAATTA